TGAATGTACAAATGTGCTTTACACAATTAATGTATGTATGGATTGTGATAAGAGTTGTATGAGCCCCTAAAACGATTAAAAAAAAAAAGAATTCTAGGTCTTAAATTCACACTGAATATTAAAGGTAATGTTCCAATTTTTTCTACTCTACAGTGTTGCTGTTGAATAGTCCAATGCCATTCTAATGTCTAACTCTATATGTAACTAGTTTTGTCTGGTAATTCTTTTGTATATATTTTGAACCTTTTCTATCTTTTCTTTATCCCTAGTGTTCTGAAATTTCACATGAAGTGGAGTCTCACTCCCTGAGTCATCACAGTGTACTGCCCATGTTGGTCTTTTTGAGCCAATGCTATTTCAATTACTGTGTACCAATGTTAGGGGGTCTAGAAGGAGAAGAGATAAAGTCTGAATTGAATCACACCATGTTTAATCAGCACTTTCAGCAAAATGGTTGTGATAAAAGACGGCTACCATATTAGCAAGCATTGCATTTAATGTATAATATATATTAAGTGATATATATGGATACTTTGAAGTTTTGTGGAAAAAGTCCATTATCTTTTAATTTTATTTTTCCATGAACTTTCTGAAGCACCCGCATACATATATTAAGTGAAATGCTTATAATAGGGGGTGAGCTATACTTAATTGAATTCTGAAAATGTGGATCTCTGCAGACGTGTGAGAAACTAAAATACTATGTACTTCCTTGCCCAAGTAGCTATAGAATACTAAACATGTAATATCATTTTTGCTCTTTTAGAACTCTTTAGTGGTCTGAGGTTATCATACCAAACATCAATTATGATTGTACTGTAATCAAAGCGTGGAGGAAAGAAACTTAGTAGAATATATAGCAACCAGCACAGCATGCTAGAGTTAATGTAGAACACATTTTAAAAAATCCCAAACACAAAGACTCCACAAGAACTATTTTTTAAAATCTTTTTAAAAATAGAAATTGTTTTCCCTGCTATAGTGAGATTAATGAGAAACTTCAGAGACACTTAACAAGGAGGACCAAGTTTCTTTATTTGCTGACGTTCAGAGTGTCCGCTATTGCCTAACCCACTCTGACCCCAAATGCTATTCTCCAAAGGGTTTTGCCCGTACAGCTACACGGGGTTGAAGTGGTGCTGATCCTGTCAAGCTAGTGGCAAGACACAGAAGGGGGAGTCTGGCGCAGTGAGTGGTGAGGCAGTTTAGAGCAGGTACAGGCTATCTGGATTTTGTTTGCCAGGCCAGGCCAGGCTGGGTAGGGTGAGGGCACGCTGGCTGTTCGGAGCTTCACAAAGGACGGTTAGGTGGTTGCCAGAGTGGCACATTGCTTGGAGCAGTTTGTGTTGGAAGAGAGTAGTTTTCAGCTTGATGCAAAATGACTATACCTAGGGTAACGGGAGCTGGGACAGCACTGTGACTCTGAGGCGACTTTCATCTAGAAGCACACTGTACAGTCCTCCCAATAAGTCGCCATCCCCACAGAGTGATAGCCGCTCAAGTGCATTCACTCTGTGCCTTTTAATATGCTTGTTAGAAAATAACGTTGTGTAAGCTAAACAGTCTTAGTTATCTTTCAATTAAACCTTCTGGAGGCAAAGTGGGGGAGCTATATAGTAAGAGAATATAACTTAATTAATTCAATCCAATTTTCAAAAACTTTTATTAAGAGAAAAAGCTACCTGAATCGCTCTTGTCCTGCTGTATCCCATATCTGTAACTTTACATATTTACCGCCAACATTTATTATCTTTGAACCAAATTCCACTCCTATTGTATGATTTGAGTCATCTTTGACTAAAAAGGAAAAACAAGAACAAGATACTTAATTTTAGAACATTAGGGAAACAATGCTTACCAATTTAAACAAGTAAAACTAAAATTAAGGGTTCAGTCAATGGAAAACATAATTTAACAATTCAGTCATGTGTTTGGACAGCCAGCTAACAAAAGCATTCCTGTTTCCTACGGAATACACCAGTCCCTACTCTCAGAGAGATAACAACAGTTTTTCTCAAAACCCTTCTCATAAATTTAAGACTTAGGCTATGGAGTGTCCACACATCTTACTATCCATTGACGTTTTCACATTGGGGACTGTAAAATATGCCAGCATATCATCCTGGAAGGATTTGCACATCAGCCAATAATGAGGTTGTGATGGTGAAACTATTTGAATAAGTATTTCAGAGAAATAAAAGGAAGGAACGTACTACAGCCCATAAAAGAAAATTATTTACAAATAAGATTACAGGAGAAGAAAAGGGCAGCGTCAAAATGAAAACCACTTTGCATATTTTGGCTATTCAATTTTGGTAATTCTGAAAAATATGATGAAGAAATCAATAATATCTTTTTGAAAGAGCAGAGAGGCAAGCAAAAATTTATCTGATAAACTCCAATAAGTTGTCTGCAAAAGGGTATTTCTGTGATGACAAAAGGACAGGCTAGTAGTTATATATCTATTGACCAGCAGCCTGGCGACGTAGCGGGTACAAACCGAGCTGGCCACCACTAAGTCAGCAGCTGGAACGCCCTGCCGCTCTGGGGGGAGTCTTGGCTTTCCCGTTTTCTAAGTTACAGACGTGAAAGCCCACAGGACAGTTCTACTCCCTCCTATAGGGTTGGTGTGAGTCAGAATTGACTCCATGGTAGTGAGTTTGGTTTTTATAGTCTACTGACCAGTTTCTACTTTATAACTGTAAAACAACCTAAATCTCCAAATACATATCCAATACATATATCAAGGATGCCCTTTTGGAAATTGTGCTTATTGCTTTCTGAGTGAGTGTAGAGGGTTACTGTATTTGTCTGTTAACTGAAAGTTTGGAGGTTTCTATCAACCCACAGGCACCTTGGAAGACAGGTCTGGTGATTTACTTCTCAAAAAACCCAGTCATTGAAAAACACCAAGAAACACAGTTCAACACACATGAGGTTGCTATGAGATGGAGCTGACTTGACAACAACTGATTACTGCTGATGCGTGCTGAGGCAGCACAGAACTGGTATATACATCCTATTTGAATTAAGGGGTGAGGCAAAACACAGAGTATAAGTCTCCCAACAGAGAGGCCAAAGGCATCTTTGTTACAACGTGGCCACGATAAGCATTCCAAGATGAGCCCAAACACCCACCCTAGGTTTTAGGAATTAGGGGAGCCCCGGAGGCCTAGTGGTTTTCTGTTACAGACTCAAAAGCCCACAGGGGCAGTTCTAGCCTGTCTTATAGGGTCACTATGAGTTGGTTTTGACTCAATGCAGTGAGGTTTTTTAGGATCAACGGGAATGGCACCCTGGTGGGAGACTAGTGGTTATGTGCCTGGATGCTAACTGAAAGGACAATTGTTAGAACCCACCAATGGCTTCACAGGAGAAAACCTGGTGATCCGCTCCTATAAAGATTACAGCCAGGATGCCTGGGGGGCGGGGGGTGGGGGGGGTGGGGGGTGGGGTGGGAGTTCTACTCTGTCATACAGGGAGGGTCACTGTGGTCAGAGTCGACTCAACTGCCCACAACATCAAAGGGAATTTTCCCACAGCTGGGAGAATGATTAACCAAGTTGAATACTTGGTCCAATATCTTTTTGGCATTACTTTCCGAGACTGTACAATATAAAGCCTTGACAGCCTATGAAGTAACTTGAATCACTCAGTGAATTAATACTTGTTAAGTTCAATAGGGACTGGTTTGGTCACTAACCCATGTTAGGTTCACGTCACTACACAGAGGCTCCAACGAGATTTTTTGGTTAATGAAAATGGAGGCAGTAGGAAAAATGTCTAGAATTCCTTTCTTTAAAAATTATTGTCCGCTTATCTTCTGCGGTCTCTTCCCGCTTCTCCTCACTCCCTATGGTTATCTCATCTAGGGTCACTAAGAGTAACAATCAACTCGACGGCAGCTTTCACAGGACATTTTATGCAGACGCACGTAACATATGTCAAACTCGCTCTGTTTTGAGCCTTCATCCAACTGCTGCTAAACAAACAGGCCATTCTCTGGAATTCTTTCAATGCTCATAAAACACTATTTACTAGAAGGGCCGTCCAGGTCCAAAGCCTTTTCCAGTCTGCAGAGATTTTCCAGAGTTTGGAATAAAAAACTCAACCTACTTTACCAAAACAATGCAGATTAATGGAAAAAGCTGCGTCTCTGGCCCAAAGTCTTAACCTACCAGTTACTCAATGATTAAACCAAAAGCACACAGCCAATTTCTCTAAACCCCTTTCCTTACCTGTAAAACAGAATTGGTGAAATAACTGCCCTCTGACATTACAAGGCTAGAAGGAGCACCAAAATACTTCCAAAATTGTATCACTAAAATTTCTCTGATAGGACATGGAATTCCTGTCAAAGGATTTTTCTGCCATCCCAACATAAGCACAGCGTAACTCTTAGCACCTGTAAAATGTGTACTTTATGTTGAAAACTGAATGAAGTATATTATTAAGAGGCTAACTTAAAGTTTAAAGCATAAATATTTGATCTAAAAATACTCTTAAAACATGACTTTCTGGAAAAAAATTCAGGAGCTTTAGTATAAAATAAATGTGAGCAAGAGAGCATTCTCAAAATAAGACATGCAAGAAAAACTGATGGTTTAATGTCACTTACATTTTTTTTCAATAAACTGATGAAGTAAGCAAGACTTGCCAGTTCCTGCATTTCCAATTACCAAGAATTTAAATAAAAAATCTGAAAGATAAAAAAGACACTGGGTAAAATAATTCTAAAACAATTGCTATGAATTTACCCCTAAATGATGATCACAGATTTTAAGCCAATCTTATTTGCTAAAATAGTAACAGAAGAAGAAAGCTTAGTAACCAAACGCGTTGGGGAAAATGACAAATTGTTGTCAGTTGCTGTAGACTCTGGATTCCGACTCATGACGACCCCATGTGTGCAGAGCAGACAGATCCACATTTGCTCACTCAATTAAGCTTTATATTCGATTTCTTTAATGTTACTACTGTAATACGTTTATAGACTATTATTCTGACAGGAGGCCTAGGTCTAGCTTAAGAACCACATTGATCGTTACTCAAAGATTAAGCCTATTCAATCACTTGTGATTGCCAAATGGTTAAGGACAATTAAAGTTATAGACGAGTGACATTAGAATTATGTTAAGTTTTAAAAATAGGTTTATACCGCTGGCTCTATAAGCACACTACTCTCTGAAAATTAATCAATCCTGGTACCACAAATAAGTCTGACACTGAAACTTAAGTAACCATGTGGACAATGAACCCCTCAACCTAATACATTAGCAACTTTCACCAAAAAACACAATGTATCCACACATGATTTTAATATCAAATACAGGGAAACTGAATCTGTAAGAATACGATGCTATGAAAAAGAATAGGTTTCAAGGATATACCAAAATAAAATGTTCACTTCTTAAAATTAATAAACATAATCATCTGTCAGTTTTTCAGATTACGGTGGCTTGTATGGTGCTCTATTAGAAGCTATGTTATCAGTATTTCAAATACCAGAGTGGTCACTCAAGGTAGACATGTTTCAGCAGAACTTTCAGTAATATTATACAGGAATAAAATTTTATGAAAGATCATTTACAAATGGCTGTAGCAGTATGTCAACAGGGAACTGCTAGAAATGCAATGCAGATTTGGAAAAGGATGTAGAACAAGGGATATGACAGCTGATGTCATATGGATCTTGGCTGAAAGCAGTTGGTACTAAGAAGAGGTTTACCTGTATTTTACTGACTATGCAAAGGCATTCAGCTATGTGCTTTATAGCAAATTAGGGACGGAACTGTGAAAATTAGGAATTCCAGAACACATAGATCCAGAGGCAGTCGTTTGAACAGAAAAAGAGGTACTGCTTGGTTTAAAATCAGGAAAAGTGTCAACAGGGCTTGATCCTCTCAACATAGTTGTTCGATTTGTATGCTGAGCACATTTTCCAACCAAGTGGACCGTAGAGAAACGTGGCATCAGCATCCGGGCTAGAGGAAGGGCATTGACTATCTGTGATATGCAGATGACGCAACCTGGCTTGCTGCAAGTGAGAGGGGCTTGAAGCTCTTACAAATGAAGACCGTGTACAGCACTGAGTGTGAATTCCAGCTCAACATGAAGAACACAAGAATTCTCACAACTAATAAGCAACATCGTGATAAATAGAAAAATAATTACGTTGCTATAATCAATGCTGTTGAAAATAGCAGTTAATAAATCAAACACTGTATTGAGGGCTAAGGTGAAACATGACCCAAGCCACGATCTTTTCAAGGGCCTCACATGCGTGTGAGAGTTGGGCAAGGAGGAAGGAAAGCCGGAGAAGAGCGGATGGTGAAGACTATTCACAGGACCACGGACTGCCCCAAGAACAAACATTGTCGGAGCAAGTGCAGCCAGAACGCTCCTTGGAAGCGCATGTGCAGACTTCGTCCCCCAGACTTTGGGCTTGTTATCAGGAGCTCAGTCCCAAAGAAAGGGCATCATGCCGAGTAAAGCAGAGGGTCCCTGAAAAAGAAGACCTCTCCTGAGATGGACTGACGCTCAGGCTACAACAATGGGCTCAAATGAATAACAGCTGCAAGGCTGGCACAGGTCCACAGAGAGCAGTGGTCTCAGCCTTCCTAACGCCGAGACCCTTTCATACAGTTCCTCATGTTGTGCTGACCCCCAACCATAACATTATTTTCGCTGCTACTTCATAACTGTATTTTGCTACTGTTATGAATCAGGCGACCTCTGTGAAAGGGTCGTTTGACCCCCAAAGGGGTCG